TATATATATAAATTTTTCTTTTACTTCTAAAAATTATTTTAAAAATTTATTTTTTAAGTGTGAAACTATATTTTGACTTGCCTCTTGGCAGCATTAATCTGAAAAAGGTTACTTGAGCAGAGAACCTCATTCTTGTAACTTAGGATTAATACTTCAGAAGGGATTTGAAGCATTAAATAAGAATAAATGAGTTTTGTTCTATTTCTTTCAAATCTTAATTCTAATTTGTATCTATTCATTGCTATTAATGCTTTAACAGATATCTACGTTAAGTTTTTGAAAGGACTATTTATTTGTTTTAGTGTATGATGCATTTGGAGGACAGACTTCAAGAACTCTACTTCAGGAGTCGATTTTTGGCTGAATATTTAAGCGGAGAACCATCGCGGACTGGTCTGAACAAAGCAACCGCTCTCTTGGGCCTCAATCTGAGCGACATCAATCTGCTGGTGGCGGTGGGAACGACACACACTCCGCAACTCGCTGCCTTTAATAGATGACGAAAGCATTTTTTAATATTATTTAATTCTAGATGACTGCATACATTTATTTTGTTTCTACAAAACTAGAAAAATGTGAGGGTTTCCTGGAAAATCCTCTTATCTCTTGCCATTCCTATTTTATAATTATGCCAAAATGTGCCTTTGGTGTAAGATTTATAATTTAAATATTTTATATATGTATATATATATATTTGTAAGTATACATATATATATGTATGTATGTATGTATATTTTATAGTTTTGTAAGAAATTTAAACAGTAGATTAATTTGCTTCCAAAATATTTGTTCTGGACTACAAAACAAAATTATTCTGGTGCCAACTTTTTTGAATTTTTCAACATTCTCACATCGGTTTTATTTGATAAATTGTGAAAAAAACCAAAGCAACCTCGTTAATTGTTCCTAAATCAGCTCAAATTTCCTTTGAGAGAAATTCAAAGCATTTAATTTGTAAATAAAAATTGAATCTCTGTTCGGAAACTAATTGTACAAGAGCAAATTATGCCCGAACCGAGCTTGCCTTTAGAAAATATATATACAGTATATATATATATGAAATTTTTTTTATATCTAAAATATAATAAGACAAATGATTTTTTAATTTATTTATATTGCCTTATTTATAGTTCTGTTAAGAGCTCTGGTCTAGAAGACCAATGTTTATTTTCTAAAGATAAACAATGTACTTAAACTGATTTGTAAGAAAAAAGACCAATCTGAAAATAAATTTGCATACCAAGCATATTTCTCTGAAGTTTTTGGTTCAAGTCAAAAAAAAAAAAAAATTGTCAGGTTATGCAGATTACAAACCATGTGGCACCATATGTTACATCAGGATTGATAATATACGTTGCCAATTACATACCAGACTAAAATACATTATATCATTTTATAATAGTCAAATTAAAGTTATTTTAATAGAAATTAACAGTTATATAGTATAGAATATTAATAAACAGTTAAACTTGGAAAATTAAAATTTGATTAATTGTAAGCAGTTTTGATTACATTTTGATCCTATAACTGACATAAACCAGAATTGCAAACATGTTTTCCAAACTTAGTTGTTTGTTTAATGATCATTATGGGTAAAAGTTTTTAAAAAATATTTTAGTTAATACAATAATTAATCAAATGGGCAAGGACAATAATTATATATAAAATAATCACAATTCAGAAGAAACAATAAGTCTTTGCGTCTTCTCCTTTCAAAGCCAACAGGAACAAAACAGTCTTTACTGGTGTATTTTTTTATTTTTATTTGAAGTTTCTGGTCTGCCTCGTTAGTAGTAAGTTAGGAGTAAAGTTTGCCTTTTTTGTAAATTATGAGAAAAATTGAAAATCCTATATAAGAATTTATATAGATTGCATTCTTTATCAGACATCTTACATTTCTGGATTGATGTTTAAGAGAATAAATATGGATTGGAGAAAAATAAGGACAATGCCTAGGAAATTCTTAGAATCCAAATAGCTGGGTCAAAGTATTAAACAAAATCCTAAGAAATAACAAAGTAGAATTTTTTTTTAATAAACAAAAATTACAAAGTAAAATGATTTTTAATTCTTGAAGTCGACAGCCCATTTGCATATGATTCAAAAAGCCTATCAATGAGATAATCTTAGAGAATTATTATAATTTAAATATAGCAAATCATTTTTTTTATCTCATTCTCTGTTTATAAATATAGCAATTATATTTTTACATGCTTGGTTATCATCATAATAGAACTAAGCAATAAAATGTTCTCTGACAAGTAAAAGAAAAACTGTCCAGATTGTATCCGTATTTTGGTAGTGTTTTGGTGATTAAGAATTTCAGAAAACTTATCTTTTTTTTGACAAAATAAAAAGTCAAATTTAATAAATATCCAATCATAATAAATCAAAGTTTTAACTTTTTATTTAGAAATTTTGAAATTTACAAAACTTATACAAATACACTGCATTTCTAGCAATCACTCGATACTTTGAACAAACATTTTTGGCTTGATTTATAGGCCTGCCTTGGTTTAGAAGCCTCCAAATACGAAGGAGTTATGTTGCATTCCAAAAGGAATAATTGCTTTTTTGCGTAACTCCGTATTTAGAAGCTTCTAACCCGAGGCAGGCCCGTAAATCAGCCGGATGGCCGAGGGGTTAAGATGGCAGCTTACCTCTGGGGGACCCGGGATCGAATCCGGATGGTCCGTTCGTATACGTATGGCCCCGTCCCTCACCATCCAGTTCCCCATTGTGGGCCTGGCCGAACCCATAATGGGCCTGCTAAAAGAGGCCCTGTTAGTGCCCACAGGGCAGAAAGAGTTTACAAAAAAAGGCCTTTAAATCAAACTGATACGTTTGTTCGAAGTATCGAGTGACTGCTAGAAATGCATGAAATGTATTTGTATAATTTAACAATTTCCAGCTTTTAGTTAAAAGGTTAATTCACAAAAATAATTTAAAGATAAAGCAAGGGCTCATAGTTTTCTCTACCCCTAAGGATCTCTGTTTTCTTTGACCTGGAAAAATTCCCAGCTGTCGGGACAACGATCGCTTGATTTGAGGAAATTTAACGTTTGTGAATTCTACCAATTGAGGCGGAAACTTCTCATTGCAAGTTGTTGAAAATATTACCATAGCTGTTGAACAGTCAACGAATAATGCTGCATCTCCAATAGTGCAATAGCAACGTCACGATAGTTGGGTATATTCTATGGCATAGTGTGGAAGGTACTGAGGAAGTGGTGCATTGTCATTGTATGAGATTGGTCACAGCCTGAAGTTGATTGCTACCATCAGAGAAATCCAACCGACCTCTCTCTTGATGGCCAGATTACTGAGCTGTTAAGGTAGCAGCCTAGAGCTCTGAGATCAAAGGTGGACGGGTAAAAAAAAATCAAGAATTTTTTGGGGCAGTTTTTTGGATGTATCGGACCCCGTCTCACCCATCCAGTTGCCCCATTGTGAGCCTGGCTGAACTAATTAAAAAGGCCCTCTTAGTGCCTAACCTCTTAAGCCCTCTAGGAGTAGAGAGTCGAGAGGAAGAAAAAGCCATTTCCATTTTAGCAAGGAAGGTCGTGTCGTGGCCAGGGAAGATCCCGCGAAGTGACAAGCCACACTTTTTCGCCTTGGAGGATCAGTAAACACTTGTAACTCTCTCTCCTTTGGGACATAAAAAACCTTTGTGTTGTTTTGGCACGGATCAGTCAATTTATCCTTAAATCATTTTTCTTTCTTGGGTTATCAAAGAGAATATTAGAGGCCTGTCGGGCCTCTAATATTCTCTGATAACCCACAGATACCGAGATGCCCAACAATTTAGTCATACCCCGACTGCAACGGCGACGATGCCTCGAGTGGCATCGTCGCCGTTGCAGACTGGACGCATTCAATCTTGACCGGAAGGGCAAGAAAGAATGCCTCCATCGTCGGACTCTGCACACGACAGTTTATACAATGACATTTCGTCAGTAACAATGATCACTCACGCATTTTCTATCTTCGGCCACATTCTCCGGATTTTAATCAATGCGATTCTCGGTTTCAAAGAGACTCAAGCGAGCGATTTATAACACGTCCTCGACACTAAAGACAGCATCACACCGAACGTGAGCATTAAGGTCGTCACATCGCCAGCTACGATACATAGCATTAGAACATTACAAAAACCCTACACATAAAGTAACTATAAACTGTGCGCAGTGTGTTGGATTTCATTTGTTCAATACTGCATCGAGTCTGCCGACCACTATATTATAGTGGCCGGCGAGTGCCAGTCTTCAACGAGCATCAATTACAATTTGCCATATAACGCATTGTTCATCGCTTTCAGGCTTTACATCACCAGATGACCTTAGCACGAGTGTATCGTAAAAATAAAATGCTTGCGCTCGCAACGGAAAAAGTGTCATAGTAGTGAGCTTTGGTATTAATTTTTTGCGGAAATGTCTTTCACGTCTCAAAATATCTTCATGTCAGATTTGGTTGTATTTGGACTGCTAAATATCTCTCCGACAGCGTTGAATAGGGGAAGAATCTCTCGTAATTCCGTAAATCGGTAAGTACTTAAGAAGAATATTAAAAGTAAATCAGATTAAAACAAATATAATTGTATGGCTTTTGAATTGTTAAAATTTATGGTTATAAATGATTGTCGATCACAGAACGTTTGCGGCTGTAAAAGGTAATTAACATTCTCCCTTTGTATTGATTTGGAGAGTAAGCAGTAGCGAATGGGTTTGAAAGAAGAATGTTACTTCGAATTGCGAGTAAACGGGTAGTTACCGCGCGTGCATCACTAACCGAATGGAGTGTGTTAAGAATAATTGAAATAAGTTTGAAAGTTTTTTTTATTTGGAAAAGTGATTTTGTAAATCTTATTTTGTAAAACTAACAATTTGCGACGTCGCCGTTCAAGTTCAATTTTTTAACTCTGCCACGTGGGCACAAAGAGGGTTTTTTTCAAATTACTCCGTACATCGATTATTAAAAATCTTCACTATGACTACTCGAGTTTGAATTTCGTTGTTGTTCTAGGTGAGGATGTAAATCGTCTTCGTACGAAGTGGTTAAATTTTATTCTTGCCGCCCGTTATTCCCACGAATGTCGAGGTCGGCACAGTTCGTAAACGAAAGTTTTGCCAAGTTTGATGCATTGATCGCCGCTTGATGCGTCATTTCGGAACATTGATGACGTGTACTTTTTNTTATTATATTTATATTCTTTTTAAAACGCTAGCAGGAATTGATCCGTAAAGATGTGAAATTAAAGGAAACAATACAAAAAAATTCATAAAAATTCATCCGGAAATTAATTCGTGTTTATAAAATTAAATTTATATAAATTATTTATAATGTAAAAATTAATCTAAGAATTTTATATAAGTTATACGAAATGATCCAGAAGTCCTTAGATGTAGCGGCTGTAACATCGTTTATAAATAATTGCGTATTAATAATAAAATGCAAAACCAAACAAACCCCATACTATATTAAAAAGAAAAAGCCTAATTCGTCATTGCATAAGAAATAAAAGAAAATTTTACGTTCTTGGCACCGCAAATGGCCGCTACATCGAAGGAATGGAGCGTCAGGAATAGAGGATATCGTGTAGTAATTACGCACGCAAAACATCTAAACATAACTTGTTACCTAATACAGTGAACTCCCGATTTACAATGAACTCTCAAAGGATCGGGCTAAATCATTCACTGTATCGAGTTTACTACACAAACACAGAATAGCAAAGACCAATAAAATGTTCACTAGATCGAACTTTTTCTGCGTGCACAATTCATTACGATCATCATCAATATGCATTCTTTTCCATCTTAACAAATTACAAACCTCCGAGTGTACTATAAGATTGATCGATATATTACTACTTTTTTGCAAAATTATAAATAAAAATGTTTATATTTCCTCTAATTTTGGATAACGAGCGCATTCGGGAATCCATATTAATACCATAAATTATTAAACAGTATTAATTAATAAAAAATCTAAATTTCGACAGCAATTATCCAAAGAATCCGGTTATTCCGAACGGTCACGTGAAAGTTACGTTACGTCACACGGGAAACGTCCAAAAATCAAATTGTTCCGGATAAGTTGGAATTCCAGATCCTCTCGTGTTTATCCCGTTATCCCACTTTAAACTAGCGCAATAAAGGATTTAATGCTTTAAGGTTTTTATGTATAGTTTATTTAAAATTAAATAAATTACATTTGAAATTATAAGATTGTACGCGAGTAGACACA